GGAAGGAGGACATGGTGCAGGGGAGCACCGAGAGGGCTGATGCTCAAGTATAGGGGATGAAGCCGACGAACGCTTTCGGGTGGGGGGCTTCAGTATGCCGGCGAGACTGATGTGTGGGGCCGGAAGGGGGCAAATATGAATACTTGGAGGCTGTGGACGGGATGGGAAGAGGAAATTGAGGGTCGTAAGGATTTTCCCGACTTGTTGTGGGGTGGGATATGGGACTGTGCACGGAACGGGTTGGTTCGAGATGGGGGGCACAGGTGCGAGGAGGTCTAGGAATGTGGGGGTATTGGGCAGACATTGGGAATATGGGAAAGCCTTCAGAGGGCCTAAGGGCAGTTGGCTGGAAGTGGCTATGATTTGGGGGGCTGCCTCAGTTGGCAGTTGGAGAGGACAGCTGAGCAACAGAGAGCAGCGGAAGGGTTTTGGTGTTCCAGATGGGAACATGGAGTTGATGTGGGGAGAGGTTAGGAGGCTGGGGGCCGTGTTGGAGGTAGTGCGGCCCTTCAGTGAAGTTCTTCTGCCATGGCAAGGTACTGAGAGGAGAGATGAAACTTGGAGTCGTCCCTTGGAATGGTGCGGCCTAGGAGTAGTCTTTTGGATCAGAGACTGTGGCGTTGGACGGGGGAGTGGAAACATCGAGCTGTACGGGAAAAGTTGCAGCCTTGGAGTACTTCCCGACAACCGTCGCGGGGGCGATGTCGATGGCTTCGCGGACCTACGGTTTAACTACCTTCTTTCAATACCCGGATCTGATTAAAAAGTAGACTGCCGGGTCTCTATTCACACTGCCCTTATGGCATCCTATTTTGTATTTTTACTATTAGTTTTCTTGTAAGGGGTTGGGGAAGGGAACAAAATGTAAAGACCCGAGAGGGTATACATATGAAAATAAATATATATATATGATACTAACATATTAAAATATCGTATTACCACGAGAGCCTTATATGGCCAAAGTTAACAAAAACACAATCGCCTACATAATTTTTTAAGACTAGTTTTAATACTGACAATTGTAAATAGTGATGTGATATATAAATAAAAACCATGTCAAAAAAAAAAAAAAGTGAATACGGTACAGTGTAGGATGCACAGTCGCATGCATAGGGTGAGATAGGGCCAATTAGCAAGAACAGGGCAGAAAGGGCCGGAATATAAAAAAAAAATACACGTAATGTGAAAAAATCATTTTCTTACACACTACCAATCGACCTAATTATAATTCTCAGAAATAAAATATATGATAAAATAATTGACCAATACTGTTTTGTTTTACAGACGCCAATCCAGCCACATTAGCCGACGTCAACATTTGCCAGATTTCATTACTCTTGAAGAATTTATGCTTTCTCATCGGCAAAATGCTCATCAACATTCAGTGGATACTAGGTCTGCATCATCACGAGTTACCCCACTGACAAACGATCATATCCGCCTCCAATACTATCAGTTTGACCCCAGTGACACATTATACCTGCAAAATCGTAGCATTAATTCAGATTTTTCTACCGATGGAATGACGTACGCTCATCAGCGGGACAGTGAAAACTCATCGCCTTTGTACATATCAGCTTACAGTTATACCAGCTCTTCAGCTGGAACATCAAGACTAGCCAAGGATGAGTCCATCTATAATCAGCAATCTAAATCCGCCAGTGCAATAGATGAGGCAATAGGAACAACCATGAAGGAAGGACTTTCTCCAATTCTAAAGAAATCGTGGAATCAAGCATGCAAATATGTGAAACGACCAGAAGCCGATATTTTTAAATATTCTCTGAGATCTGTTGATCCTCAATTCCAGAACGGTCGTAACGAATTCACGCGAATTGATTCACCTCTATTGCGATCTATTAGTAATTCTAGTTACATGACCCAAAATAAAACGAAAATTGATTCTAACAGCAAATCAAATCGATTGATAAATACAAATACAATAAAAAATGGTGATTTCCATCGAAAGGATATTCTCCGGTTCTCAGGGTCCGAATCTATAAAAAATATTGACTACCCGACTTCCAGTGGGCTCTTAACCCACTCCTCAGGAACCCTGGCCAGAGTTGGAAAAGAAACATCCGAAAGTAGGCAGGAGAGTTTCAACACTAATGACCAGAGTGGGGAAGATGGAAATAACATGGAGTCCTTAAGACTTCCAGGTAGGAAGTTAAGTTCCCAGCAAAAAGTGAAGTTGAAGAGTTCGACGCAATATCAGCCTCCACCAATTCATTCATCTCCATTTGAATATGATAGGATGACAGCTGCCTTTGAAATGCAGCTTGATAAGGAACACGTCCAGAAGACCAATAAATTAAAGAATTTTTTTGGAGGTAGGAATCCCCAGAAGCCTATGAGTCTAGATCTCCCTAAAGAACAACAGAAAACACTACTGGGTTCCCCTAGGCTCCATAGGGCATTGTTCAAAGACAAAAGTTCCAGCCAGAAAAGATCGGAGAGTCACAGCCCAAGAGACAGTGGTGTCACTCAGTGCTTAAGTTTCTACAGTGGAATGAGTCGGTCTGACTCTCATACATTAAGTCAGTGTTTTAGTTCTGTCAGTTCTCCTAGTGGTTTGAGCATGGAAGCTTCACCAATGAATTCCGACAAGTTTGTAATGGAACATGGCAATAAGAAATTGAATTCTAGACATCTGATGTATCCTCCGATACTTCCCTATATACCGCCACCAAGTTCTCCACCTCCTGATGACTATCCCGGCTTAGAGTATCCACCTGTGTTTGAGCCTGGGACTTACTCTTTATCTGCTGCCTCTCTAATGAGTGAGAAGAGTGAAGATCTTGGCGATAGTGAATAATATTTGATGGTCTATTATATTCGCCAGATATGTATAGTAAGGATAACAATATCTTCACATCATTCGACGTGAATTTTAAACGAGTATACAATTTAGCAATATTGTAATTATCGTAAGTTTCTTATTATTATTGTTTAAAGTTAATTATTGCAAGTTTTATCCCAATGATGATGAGAATTAATAATAATTAAAATTAGTGCTCTTAAGTTATAGAAACGGCAGTGGGAGCATTTCAATCTAATTAAATCATTTGTGACATTCCGATAATATTTTCAGACCATTCCTCATTAGCTCTGGCGTGAAACAGCCAATCCCTTGCTGTTATTCAACCATCTTCGAGCTGCGGGTTACTTGGTTGGCATTTGATCGTTTTCATTCGTTACTTTCTACCGAACTTTGACAGCTCTTTTAATTAAATAAATGTGAAATAAAGTGGACAGTAGATCACGAATCAGGGCCATTTTCGGTCTAAAACGCGTACAAGCCAAGAAAAACCCTGAAAACGACAATATCGACTTCTGGCCTTTCCCGAAAGTCTACAAGAATCGTAAATAGACTTAGAAATCCGGTGCCATTGGAATTAGAACGCGGCCACCAATAGTTTTCCAGAAATTGAGCCAGGAATAAGGAAAATGTCCACATCTGGCCTTTCTAAAGGCTTCTGTGTCAAGCTTACAGAAAAAATTGGCACCTATGTGTTAATATTTCTCTTCTTCGGTGCATATGTTTCCGTCATTACTACGAATGACGGGAAGAATGTGGGTTATGGCATCCCGAGGATCCTCAAAAACAACAAAAATCTGATGGGTAGAATAGATCACTTCTCGTAATTTGGCGAGTAAAATCACGCTTTCCGTGTAATTATGACGGAAATTATTTTTCGTCTCGTGGCGCCACTTAATGTCGCTCTCTACGGCTAGTAACACTTACCAGGCCTGGTCAGCGCATAGGTTAGGTGGGCCTCCTGAGAGAAAACAAGGTGTGTCATATGGCCTGAAAAACATTTTGCTGACAAATTCAATCACAATGTGTAACTTCGACCGAATGGCTAATGGCGGCAGACTGGCGCGCGGAGGATCGTGAGTTTGATTGCCGCCGGTAGCATCTTTGGCTTTTTCAATTTCTCGGTTCACAGTCGAGCAGGAGGCTCGTATGGAAAAATAAGAGATGACTTACTTCCAAACTTTTAAATCAAACTCTTCGCCTCAGGTGAGATTTTTCCTTGGTACATGGCGAATGTAGTAAGATAGTGGGGATGGGGGCTTGGAATGGGTCACTCGTGAAAGCTCGCCTGCAGCTCGTGCTATAAACTCCCACGAGCTAAAGAATACAATATTTTAAAGAAAACAATATTTTTCATCACAATGGGTAGATTAAGGGATTTATAATCACTTTTAGAGACGCCAAATGTGCCTATAAAGTCACTTTGTCCGCATAGCGTGATGAAAATAATTTTTTATGGGGATAATCGCACCTTATAGTTAACGTTAACCCTCTGAAGAAATTTTCTTATCTCAATTCTCTAATCGAAGTTCTTATACAATGGGAAAATCCTATACCATCAGTAGGATACAACGCATCATTTAAATATGGTAAAGTTTATTTAGTAACATCACAGATACAATAATTATGTACATAATTGTTTCATGAGGGGGAGTGAGATCGTCATTCGCATATATAAACCGAAGAACTCACATTCCCCCTATTGTCCCTCTCCGTGTTTTTTTCGTTCTTCAATTTTATAGTCACTGGAGTACTAGGTATGAAGTAATTGTGCTCCAGAAAAAAAGGTGCTAGATACAAATCTTTAGTTGTATCTTTGGAAGCAAATTAGATTATTAAATAAATTGTTTTTCCTGTTCCGTTTATTTTTTCATTACGCCGGATCTTACTTTCGGATGGCTATTAAAAAAATTACGGATCAAGTAAATATCCGCTCCGTTCTTTCTTCTTCAATCATTGGTTTTACATATTCATGTATTCTCCTTTTACATGAAAAAGTAATCCATTGAAATCGACTGATGCATAATACTATACATTATCATCGGAGGACGATAATTTATCGAAAACATATAGTTTCAGCTGCGTATCGTGCCTGTGTGCTGGGGCAGTTGATTCTGGTTTAACCGTTTCTGATGCGCATGATTGATCTAGGGATCTCGACAATAGAGTACGATTGAGCTCAGGCATTGAAACAGTGGGATCTTTTAATGGTAATGTTACGTCACGAAGGGAGTCCGTTGGAGATGGTGGAAGAACCACTGTCTCTGGTGCATTCTGTATAAATATTACTCTGCAACAATAAAACAATCAAATAGATCGATTATTCATAATATTTCAGATTATATTTTGATTCATAGCGAGAAGGTATAAGATGAAATGGATCAGAAAATCTTTTGGCATAAGTGAATTTCCGTTAACTAAAACTTTCTCAGAAATTCGTAAATCACTTGCAAAATGAGAAGATATCAATGATGTTTAACATCATAAAATACGAAAATATAATGCTTTTAGAAAGTGTGTGTGTGCATGTCGACTTTTCGGAAACTTTTTATAAATGTCCCCAGAAAAAGATTAAACTTTGTTCTAAAAATGTGAAAATTTGCTGAGTAATTGTCATTACTTTAGAGGTTTTCTAGATACAATTTGAACTTCATCGACCCGATACTTTCCGAGATATAGCAAAAGCAATAGAGAACGTTTTCCTTACGAAAATATCTATCGAATCAAATCAAAATAATGCTACAGCTAGTTTAATCATAATTGGCATTATCTATTTTTATTAGTAAATCGTTGTGAATACCAACCATTGAAAATTGAAGATAGAAAGTTGAATTTCGGTATAATTGTAGTTTTTATAATACTACAGAAGTATATCCATGAACTGAGTCGGATAGGTCGTTCAGATTCTTCTAAACTTAAACTGTTACTACTGAGCTGATTCATTTTTTTTTAATTTGTCATGTTATCTTCTTTCAAGATTAATCAATATATGCATACCAGCCCATAGAAAGTTTTCGAGATACCCGTGACTTCCTGTTTTTTTCATTTGAAAGTTAATTAGCTGGCTAGACATTCGAAATGCCAGCTAGGTAATTAGTGTTATGACAATATAGTTATGTATAAAATTTGTGTCAATCCATTTATTGGAAAAAATATGTTTCGTGATAAAGAATTACGAATCGTCATTTTATCAATTTTCGGGTTCTATCATTTACTGCTTCAATTATTAATGGAAATTGAAAATGAATGGATTTTCTTCTATTTCTGCCATAAATTGAAATAGCATGACTATTACACATTTCACTTTAAAAATTGCTAAACTGCCAACAGAAATCGTCGAAACGTTACATAATCTTTTTGCCAGTTGTGACAGTTACACAGAAAAATACTATATTTAAAATACGAGATTTAAAACGTCATTTACGATATTTCTAATCTCGTAAATTACAAGCCAAATTACTGCTTTTGTGACGTAAATTATGATTTTTATATCAAGATACGCGACAGCGTATCTGCCAAGTTGACGTCACAGGCAGAGAGCTGTCGTGTATGATATTCACCTAACAACTCGACCCTTAATTATTCAAAAAAATATTTAATATTTGTGAATTACCCTTTATCAATTAGAATCGATTGTTGACATTTTGATGGTTAGAGTATTGCACCCAAATTCAAAATTTTATTCATAAATTGAGAAAATAAATAACTTAATATTTGTGAATTACTTTTTAACAATTGAATTCGATTGTTAATATTTTAATTTAAATTGTTGTGAATTACCCTTTAACAATTGGAATCGATTGTTAATATCTGAATGAAAATATTACCTCCAGATTTAAATTTTTTATGTAATATTTTTCAATAATCAACTTGAATAATTTAATAAAAACTAAAACATGAATATTTAAATTAGATTTCGTTGAGCAAAATTACTATGATTAACCAACACATGTTAGAGAGGCTTAAAACAGGTAACAATACTCTTGATTGCATCATTTGTTTGGTAATTATTAACATCCATAACATCCGTTTTTCCATAACCGCTAGCAATCTCACCTATAATGTCTGCGTTCGGTCTCTTCCCTTCTTACACGGAGAGAAAAATACATCACTATTTCGTGTGAGTCCATTCAAAAATTAGTGTGCTATTCACCAACCCATGGGCACGATTCCGATTACTTTGGCGCCACAGTCTGGTGGTGGTTTCCCGTAGTATTTTGTCTCAGGAATTCGGGAAAAATAATAAAAAAAAATCGATCTCTATTATTTATAGTAGTTTTCGATTTTTTAATGTAAAAATTTCAAATAATACCAACTTATATCCTACAATGTTGGGACGTTGGAGATTGGTGGTGGAGGGTGGGGGGAGGGGGGTAGGGGTATTCAGCCTTGTCAATAACCAAAATAATTTTAAAAATGTGGAAAATTTTGAGTAGAAATTTTCATTTTTAATTTCAAATTCATGTTGTGAAAATATTATTATTTATACATTTCAGCTGTATAAACTATAATTATACAGAGGAAGCAATAAATATTAATGTTTACATGTTCTAATTTTGTTATTTTTTTGCTAAAAATGAACTATTTGTTGTTTTTTTGTTTAATTACATAGTTAATTACTTCTGGGATTTTTTCCCAAATTATTATCTTTAATGATAAAGCCAATTTTCATTCTTGACTGGGGGGGCTTCGCCCCCCCAACCTCCTACCGGGGGCTCCGCCTACGCTTTGAAAAACAAAGGAGAATGAAGAAAAACAATGGCGGCAAGATTACATTCGAATTTATATAATTCGTGAAAAATCCGCTAGATGGTGTAAAGGTTAAACAAAAGGCTAAAAATTTTCATATAATATGATATTATAGATTTAGATTTATTCAGTAATATATAAAATATAAACCATATTTTTTTAAAAAAAGGGGCCCACTTTGCCCCTTTTTCCCTCTATATCTCGAAATAGAGTGTAGAGGGAATTTTTTCTTAATTTTGTCGAACTCGCGAGACAAAATAGTTCGGAAAACAACCGTTAAATCGCGGCGCCAAGGTAATGGGTATTGTGCCAACCCATGGGACGAAACCGTGGTCAACAAAAAATTCGCATGTGGCGCCCCAATTTTTAAGGAAGTCTCACGGAAAAGTAGCGTAAGTTCTTCAAAAATTAGGGTGCCACATCCGAATTTTTCGAGTGGGTTATTCGAATTTTTTGTTGACCACGGTTTGGTCCCATGGGTTGGTGAATAGCACACTAATTTATGGTAGAATTTTTTCTCAGTGTACTCATTTATCGGATGCACTATACCAAGATATTGTCACTTTAACAATGGAATTTATTGTAAGTAGAATTGTTTCTATCAAATAACTGAAAAAAATCACAAAAAAATTTTGTGAACAAATGGCGCCAAGTCAACGCTAATTTAAACGCAAGACAGAAACATGAGACAATAACTGAATAGTTGAAATCACGCAGTAGGTGAACTGATTATGATACAATCTTATTTTTAAAAAACCATGGAAATATTAAAAAACGCCAAGTTTATGCTGACGGCGCCAACTAGGACAATTTTCCGCAGTTTTGATTATGATTGGAAAATTGATTATTATTAATAAAGGCTTTTTTTTTCTTTGATATACTTTTTCCTTCACGTATACCCTTTCGGGTCTTTACGATTTATTCCCTTCCTCGATCCCAAAACTCCCTACCTCCTATACCGTATTTGCCGAAAGAGAGGAAAAAATTTAATTCGAGGGGAAGAATCTGCCCTGGTACAGTCGTCCTTTTGACAGTAGCATCGCTCGACATTGAAACTATGCGATTAGAGCACTATGAATATTGACCGTCGATATCCGAGGTCGAACCCGGATCATTGGCATGCTAGACGAGCACTCTAACTGCACGGCCACTATCGTCGGTTTTCTTAAATATATAAAAATGCTTAAAATATGATCAATTTTAAATAGGAAATCATTATTTCTATTTGAAAGTGATGACAAAACGAATATTGATTCAGGACAAATTATGCACGCTTTTCTCGACTCAAAACTTTTTTTCTCCCGTTAGGGGGCGCAAGCGGCACATGGTTCAAACTGAAATTTCCCCATGATGTATATTGACACGTAAAATGTGTTTTCTAAAAGCACGTTCATCTAGAGTGTGGAAAAATTTTATCCATTTCTAATTACACTATTTCTTTCTTTAATTGCTTGAATCGTAGTCTGTTCATATCCTACAGGATCCCTCTTGCAGCTTCTTCTAAATTTATAGGGAATACAGACACTGCAGGGGGACTTATTTCTGCTGGCAGCGAAAAAATATAGTTAATTCTATCGGTTAAATCAATCACTTCATAACTTCAACACCCTTCTACTGTACTAATCATTGTTGAAATAATTGACTATTATAATTTCTAACCATAGCCTGCATCCCCTTATTGTTTATGTGTTTATTCAGCGATTTTATATTGTACTTGGAGCCATTGACATAGTTAAATGGAATTTTAGTTTGAACCACCAGGCGCTTGTGTGTTCATAAATCCACCAGAACTAATGCAGTTCTGCGCCTCCTAACGGGAGAAAGAAATAAGTTTCAAGTCGAGGGAAAAACGCAAAATTGGAGGGAATTTTTTCTCGACTGGCGATTTTACGCCCTCCTACTTCGCGGTCAAGACCCGAACCTTGATCTCAAGCGATGCCTTGTCGGTAACTACGGCAATGGCTGGAAACCAGGGCAACATTGAACAGTGGAACTTTCGAGGGCGCCGGAAAATTTTTTCATTCGATATGCCACTAAGTGGCATGAGCACTGATCTCTATATAACCCTATATAACCCTCTATATAGAGCAGGGCCCGGCAACCTGGGCTCATTAGGCTCACGCGACTCCCGAGCTTCGTTAGTCAGAGCTGGGAGAGGGGCCTCATCCACTTAAGGCCCGGATGGAAGGAATTTTTTCTCGACAGGCGATTTTACGCCCTCCCAATTCGCGGTCAAGACCCGAACCTTGATCTCAAGCGATGCCTTGTCGGTAACTACGGCAATCGCTGGAAACCAGGGAAACATTGGACAGTGGGGCTTTCGAGGGCGCCGAAAAATTTTTTCATTCGCTATGCCACTAAGTGGCATGAGAGATTTATATCTCAACAGAGCGGAGAGACGGGCGAGGGGGCGGGGGGGGAGATGTATCCAAATGTGGAATCCACATTTTGTGACCATCACTAAACCTCTTTTGACATGAACGATGGGATAAAAAAAAATGTCTCCACAGGGGTAGGTAAATCGACTCAGGGGATGATTCT